ACTGTGATTTAGAGAAATCATCTTCTGAAACCTATTAAAAAAACACCATATATATATAACAAAATACTGAAAACATTATATAATTACAAAATCAAATGCTATTTTTAAATTAACTAAGATCATTAAAGATATTTCCTGCTTTTTTCTTTCTTTCTTTTTTTTTTTTAAAAAGAATTATGTATTTAGGACAGTCAGACGGCATAATGGCTACATAGCTGGACTCCCATCTCCCATGTGACTGACAGTGGTTCAAGTCTTGGCCCCGGGGGCTTAAACTCACATCGGGCGCATATGCATGCATGCCCAAGATCCGGGGAGGAGGGTGGAAGAGAAGGGATTGCAGCATGGCCATTCCCCCAGGGGGGTGATTTCTCGCTTTCTGTATTTGTCACTCCCTGTCTTTCTGGCGAGTGCACACACCCTATAGCAAAAACCTCTCAAAAAAAAATTTTTTTAACTTTTATTTATTCATTCATTCATTTTTAGTATGTCCAGAGAGAGACAAACAGAAAGAGAGAGAGAATTAAAAAGCAAGCCACCAGGTCCAGGACTCAAACGATGGTCAGCCATGTGGGAGTGCCCAGTGCCTTAACCACCACCTCACCCATTGGTCCCCATGATATTTCCTGCTTTTCCAAAGAATCAATTCTAGCAAATAATTTTCGAGACCATTTAGATATTTTTATTTTTCCTTAATTCAAAAAATCTGAATCTTCTACTTAGATTCACCTTTCAATTGTTCTAAATTATGCTTCTAGACATATATTCATCAAAAATCAATCTCGGTTTCACATTATCACTTTACTCAATGTTTAAGAGGGGAGGGAAAAGAAGGATGGATAACACTGTTAATACTATGATTATTAAGAGAAGGAGAGGGACCAGCAGTTGGAATAATGGCTATGTTGCTGGACTTCCAAGTAGTTGACTATGGTTCAAATCCCAGACCCAGTGGCTTAAACTCACGCTGGGTGCGTGTGCATGCATGCCTAAGATCCTGAGAGGAGAATGGAAGAGAAGGAATTGCAACATGGCCATCCCCACTGGGAGGTGATTTTATCGCTTTCTGTCTTCCTGTCTCTGTCTTTCTGACAAGCACACATGCCGTATAGCAAAAACCCCTTTACAAGAAAAAAAAAAAATGTAAGGAGAAAAATGAATACAATTCAAATAAGCAGCCCATGGTAGTTCTCAGGAGCTAAATCACTCACATTAAATGAAAACTGAATTTCATAAAGTTCTACTGAATAACAATAATAAAACAAATAACAATAATAAAAAGAGCTATCACTAAGTACTTTATACAGTTTATCTCAATGTATCTTAACCTCATTTTATAGAAAAAAAAATGACAAAACAAATCAGGCATAGAAAAGGAAAATAAAAACTTCATGAGCTCACTTATACTGTATGTACAACCTAAAAAGTAGAACTTGCAAAAGCAGAGACTGGATTGGAGGTTACCAAGGGTTGGGAAAGAAAAGGAGAGGATGTTGCTCAAAGGATACAAAATTTGTTAGCAGGAGTAGGTTAAGAGGTCTACCATACAATGGGGTCAACAGATGGCATTAATAGTTACATCAGTGGACTCCTACATGGCCAACCATGATTCAAGTACCAGACCTGGTGGCTTGAAAATCATGCTGGGCATGTGTGTGTGCATGCCCAAGATCCCAGGAGGAGATTAGGGAGAAGGAATTGCGGTATGGCAATCCCCACTGGGAAGCAATTTCTCACTTTCCCTCTCACTCTCTCTGTCATATGTCTCTGGTGAGCACACATGCCCTAAAGCAAAAACCTTTTAAAAAAAAAAAAAAAAAGAAAAGAAAGATCTACCATACAACATGGTGACTGTAGTTAATAACCATGTACTATCATTTATACTTAAAAAACAATGAAGATTTTAAGTATTCTCACCCCCAAAAAAACGTATGTAATATAGGGGCCAGCAAGTGGCATGGTGGACTCAACATAGCCAACTGCGGTTCGAGTCCCAAAACTGGCAGCATACTTTCTCCCATTCTTCTTTTCTTTCTCTCTCTCTCTGTTAAATAAATTAAATTAAATAATTCTGTTTTCTAAAAAAGCATGTAACGTAATATACAAGTCAATTTGCTTGATTAGACATTCCACAACCTACACGTATTTCAAAACATCATACTGTACACCAAAAACCTATTTAAAATATATAAATTAAAACAAAAACTAAAGAGAGTAAGTGATCTGTACAAATATTTCATTTGTTAGTAGCAAAATCAGATTTGGAAAGCTATAAATTACACTTTTCAGCACTATACTTTTGTGAAGAAAATTCATCCCTATAGAATAGCAGTCCAAAATTTCAAATTCAAAGGAAATACGCAAACTTAAAAAACACAATAGTCCTCAGGGCCGGCAAGTGGCATGGTGGCTAAAGGCGCTGGACTCCCACATGGCCAACCATGGTTCAAGTCTCGAACCTGGTGGCCTGTTTTCTCACTTCCTCTCTCTCTCTGTCTCTCTCTGATCAAAACTGGAAAATAATAATGATAATAATAAATAAAGTTAAATAAAAATAAAATAATTCTTTAAAAAAAAAAAACAAAAAACACAATAGTCCTAAAATAAAACCACATAAATGTATTTAGAAGCGTCAATAAACACATGGCAACAAAATTAAATTTCAGATGACAAAGGTGAGTGAAGAAGTCTAATCTTGAAAAGGTTCTCTAGGCCTCCCCAAATACAACTACAAGAAGGTGGACCATGCTGATCAATTTGAAAGACATTAAACTAAGAACCTGGGTCAGCAAGTACCATGGACTTTTAGATGATGGATCTCACATGGCCAGCTTCACAGTTCAAATCCTTGACCACATGGCTTGAGAATCATGCTGGGCATATGTGCATTTGTGACCAAAAAACCTAAGAGGAGAGTGCAGAGAAAGGGGTTACAGTGTGGCCATCTTTGATAAGGTGTGATTTATTGTTTTCTCCCTCTCTATGGCAAGTAGAAACACCCTGTAGCAAAAACTTAAAAAAAAAAAGAAAGAAAAAAAAGAAAAACTCAGAATGTTTCACACTATAGTTACATCATCATCCATACATATCTAATAAGTTGGATTTTTTTCCCCCCCCTGTAGGGTACATGCACTCACCAAAGAGAGACAGAGAGGGAAAGTAAGAAATCACCCCCTGGGGGAATGGCCACACCACAATCCCTTCTCCTCCATTCTCTTATCAGAATTTTTTGGGCCGGCGTACACATTTGCTCAGCAAGTTTTTCAGTCCTACAAGTCCAGGACTCAAACCAAAGTCAACCATGTGGGATCCAGTACCATACTCACGATGCCACAAGCTTTAGATTTTTAACCACAAACTAAATATAACAGTATTTTCAGAGGTAAACAATAATTACAGAAATCTAATAATATAAAATGGTAAATAAATTACTTTCTAATAAAAAAGAATAATATAACTTTACAACATGTCGTGTGGCATGCTTACTAATACGATGTTAAAAGTAGGTCTAAGAAAGATGTAGAACTTTTTACAGAAATTTACAAATCACAATTTGTAAATCAGAGAGCTCAATTCATAAATCAAATTTGTGCTTACTTGCTTAATCTCTTCTTTGGGCTCTGTGGTTTTATTCTGACTGAAACTTTCTTGTACTGCTTGAAGATTAAATAACATTTGCTTCAGGGCTTCAACAGGACCATGATGTTTGCCTCCAGAAAGGGTACAACTCTAAGGTTAAAAAATGTGATAGCATAAAGTGGATCATCCAAATTTGGGGAAAAAAATCATTTTATTTTGTATTGTCCCCAATATGAAATTAACAACAACAAAAATCAAACAATGCATATCAATAAAGTGTTTTTTAAAAAATGAAAATTATAACTCATCACTTCCCCATATCCAGTCCCCAGATGAAGGTACTTAGAGACAACCATGATTACAGTTTGGTATATCCTTTCCTATTCTTACTTTTAAAAGTGAATAGTACATGGGACCAGCAGTTGGCGTAATGGCTATATAGCTGGATTCTCATGTAGTCGATTGTGGTTCAAGTCCCAGCCCTGATGGCTTAAACTCACACCAGGCGTGTGTGCATGCGTGCCCAAGATCCCGAGAGGAGAATGGAGGAGAAGGGATTGCAGCGTGGCCATCCCCCTGGGGGGTGATTTCTTGCTTTCTGTCTCTCTCTGTCCTTCTGGCGAGCACACACATCCTTATAGCAAAAACCTCTCAAAAAAAATGAATAGTACATATTTACTTTTATGATAAATTTATTAAGTACATTAAAAAAATCGAATATGTTTAGAACTGACAACAGACAAAAGGTAGAATTAGCTCAATAGTCCATTCCATTGACAAACAGATAAGTAAAATGTGGTACATACATAAAATAGAATATTAACTCTAAGCAAAATATTTTGACATACGTTACAAAATAGATATTGCTAAGTGAAATAAGCTAGCCACAATAAGACAGATACTTTATGATTCTTCTTATAAGATGCTCCTAAAATAGCAAATTCATAATGGCAGAAAATGAAATGCTACCTGCCCGGGGCTGGGAGGAAGAGGAGAATGAGGAGTCCATGTTTAATAGGTAGAGCTTCTATTTGGGAAGAAGAAAAAGTTCTAGAGATGGATGATGGAGATGGCTGCACACAATGTGAAGATACTTAATGTAACAGAACTATATGATTTAAATGGTAACTTTTATGCATTTTTTTATTACAACAAAATTAAAATTTTAAAAAGAAACAGGATTGGGGCCGGCAAGTGGCATGGTGGTTAAGGGTGCTGAACTCGCACATGGCTGACTGTTTTTCAAGTCTCAGACCTGGCAGCTTACTTTCTCACTTCTTCTCTATCACCCTGCTCCTCCCTGGTAAAATTTAAATAAATAAATAAATAAGCTTATAAAATAAAAAAAAAGAAACAGGATCCAGTATAAGAAACCAGTAGACTTATACTCTTATATCCTTGGAGATAGCACTATTTCTAATGATCTGCTTGCAGCCATTAATTTAGAATTTCTAGTTGCCTGATGCCAACAATAAGGGTTATAAAAATCAATTCCTAAAGTGTGTTATGATCAACTCTAATGAAACCTTCATGTACTTACACTATAGTCCTTTTATTTATTTTGGCTCCCCAACTGAAATGCAAGATACAAGAGGGCAGGAATTTTAACTCTTTAATTCACAACTAGGAACACAATTCCTATAAAGTGCTTAATACTCAAGTATTTGCCAAATATCTGATAATGAAGTTTTACTCACTCAGCATCTACTTAGTATCATATATAGCTCTAAGGTCAGACATATTCTGACAGTCTCTAGTGAATTTCACTGAGACAAAAGATATATTTTATTAAATGTTTTAGCTAATTTTCATTTTGTTTAACTCCTCAATCCCCCCAGATGTTAAGATCCCAAACGTATTATTTCAACATCTAACAACCATATTTACATTTTTAAGTCAAAATCTGTATCATTTATGTTCACATATCTACTCATCCTTTAATCAGAGCAACTTGTGAAGTGCACCGTGTGATTTTGTAAAAGTAATAATTTTCCTATTTCAAATTATTATTATTATCACTGTATCTTAGAAATACAACTCTCAATAGTCAACTGCTCTATGAGAAAATATAATTGACTCTTTAAGAATCTGCTTTGGAGGCCAACAGGTGACGTAGTGGTTAAAGGCACTGGACTACCACATGGTAGATCACTGTTCAAGTCCCAGTCCTGCATCTTGCTTGTTCTTGCTTTCTCTCTCTCTCTCTCTCTCTCTCTCTGTGTGTCTCTTTCTGGTCAAAATTGAAAAATAATGATAATAAATAAATAATTCTTTTTAAAAAAAATCTGCTTTGTATATTTTCCAGAGAAAAACACCAAAATGACAGTTTAGACTATCCAGAGCTCAATCCCAGTTCTGTCTAGTTTTGAATACTAAAATAAAGTTATCAACAATCCAGAAAGGAGTGCGAGCTTTCTGAATGTATTTTAAAGAAGAGAAAATTTGGGTCTTTTTTTGTTTTACAATATTTAAATAACTTGGAAATCAATACCCACATATTATTTAGACATAAATTTCCTTTAATAAGTTAAAAAGATTTAACTTCACTCACCTTATTATCATTATTTAAAAAGTCTTCAAGAACCCCGTTAGGGTTCTTGGCCCTTGAAGTTTGCTGAGGGCTACCATCAGAGTTGACAGGAACAGGGGATTTGCTAAACAGAATTAAAAGACATGAGATAGTAATTAAATCCCAATTTTTAAAAATGAGATAATATATAAAGATTTTCATTTCATTATAAGCAGTCACCAAGAAATAACCATAATGGATATGATTCATATTGATGCTGGATGGTAATTCCCTTATGTTCTCCCTAACCTGATACAAACTTCTATTCCCTGCTTCTCCTTTCATCATTTTTTTTTTTAAGAATTATTTCATTTTGGGACCAGCACATGGTGTAATGGTTACATCACTGGACTCCCACATAGTTGACCACAGTTTGAGTCCTGGACCTGGCAGCTTGAAATGCATGCCAGGTGCATATGCATGCATGTCCAAGATCCCGAGAGAAGAATGGGGAAGGAACTGAGACATGGCCATCCCCCTAGGGGGTGATTTCTTGCTTTCCATCTGTCTCTCCAGCAAATGCACGTGCCCTATAACAAAAATCTCTTCCCCCAAAAAATTTCTTATCCTAAAATAGCAACATCTCATATACTTATATATATGTATATTTTTTTTTTTTTTTTTTTTTTTTTTTTGGTACAGGGCACATATGCTTACCAGACAGAGAAAGAGAACGCAAGAAAGCAAGCTATGAGGTCCAGGACTCAAACCGCAGTCAGCCATGTGGGAATCTAGCACCTTAACCACCCATGCAGCCTACTGGTCCCATCTTTTCAAGTTTTAAGGAACTATTCAAAAAAAGATATCAGTCCTCTAACTATTCAATATGTTCTAGAAGTTCATTTGTTTGAAACGTAGTACATTTTTCCAATTAAACCTTGTTAGTTATCTAATGATAATCAAAAACTCTTGAGTTGCTAAGAACTTCTACTGGAATAACAGTTAGTGTTCTCCCACTTCAAGGCAACAAGTTAGACTTCCCCTCCAGAACTGGTATTAACAAAGAAAATATACTGTTGGGGAAAAAGATTAACTTAGAACTTAAAAGTCTTAAGTACAATTCCTAGTATTAACAATTATATGACCTTACATAATTTATCTGAACTTCAGTTTCTACATTTGTAATCCTACTTATCTCAGAAGTACTGCATAATTTAACTGAATTAATTCTCTATGTATGTGATACATTTAATAGATGCTATGAGACCTTGTACAAGTTACTTATCTAAATTTGAGAAAGGAAGAAACAATGCCTACATTAGGGTTGTTGTGAAGATTCATTTGATTAGAAAATGAGTATGTTGCACTTAGGGCAGTTTCTGATGTAGGATGGTTCTCTTAAAGTTGTAGTTGTCTACTTTCAAAAAAGGTATTCAACTGAGAATTTTTTAAAAATCAAAGATTTAAAACTGTCTATAACAGAATGAAAGATTACACAATTAAAGATAATAGATTATCAGAACCTAAGATATGCAGGTCTGATACCAAGAATGGATTTCTGAATGCAATTTTGATTAGTCTCAATTATATCACTAAGAATAAAAATGTTTCCATGTGGGGTCAGCAGATGGTACAGGTGGTTAAGGTGCTGGACTCCCAAATGACCAACCATGGTTCTAGTCCCAGACCTGGCAGCTTGCTTTCTCACTTTCCTTCTCTCTTGTAAAATTTTAAAATATTAATAATTAATAAAATTAAATTGTTAAAATAAAACCTTTCCCATTTAAACACCCAATTCTATCACTACATTCATATTTAATGTCTGTGTAAACATTTTCTAAATTATCCTGAGAAACTATGTCATAGAATGGGTAAACACACAAGTAAAACTATCAGAAGAACTACAAAATTTATACAATAGCCCATATAAGAAAATGTACCATCATTTTAGGATATTAAGACATATACTTTAATATTTTATCATTAAATAAAATGAACCATGTAACAAAAACAGAAATAATATAATGTACCTATTGTTATGAAAAAAGGTACCATCTTGTAGAAACAAATAAAAAGTGCTATTAAAGCAACACTGAAAGCTATGTTTTATAAAATTAGTTATTAACATTAATTATGTAATAATATGTATAATATACTAATTATATGTATAATAATAATATGCAAGTTATTAAAGAATAAACCAGATGGTCACATATTTTTCACTAAGGTAACTGAACAATTTTTCCACTATCACTTACTTACAAAGTAACAGGAATATTTTCCCATGATCTTTCTGCTTCCAGTTTATCTAATGAGCAGGGACTATCATCCTTTTTCATAGAGTTTGGTAATTCTTCAGTACACTCCTCTAGATTTCTCTTGGCCTTTAGGATAAGCAATTCAATTTTGTCACCTAATTTTGAAAGATTGTATTAGTTCCTTAAGAAAAAAAAAATGCAAAGCACAACAAAATATCACAAGGTCGACAAAAATTCAAACAATTTGGAATATATACACATTTATAACAGCAAATTATGTTAAGATGTGACATTCCAAGCAAAGAAAACAGGAGGGGAATAAAAAACATTTTCTAGTTTAAAAAAATGCTACATATTTGAAAATTAGTGTGTTCATTAAGAACTTATCAATATATCAAAAATAAAACATAAAAGCTAGATATTAAATCAAATTAATAGTACATCCTTTAGTTTAGAAAAACAGATTACTAAAAACAAAATATTACCACTGAATGGCTTTTTGGATTGTCCTGGGAGAAGTGGATTCTCACACTGACATTGGCTATGTTCAGAATCACATTTGTATTCATTAACTAATCTTTTATTATCACTCAAGGAATTTGGAAATTTTGAGGGTTCTAAAGAATACTCAAAACGATCTAATTTATTCACAAGCCGAGAAGTTCTTTGTGCCTGATAACTATGTCTAGGGGAACACTGATCTTCTTTAAATAGTTTATGAACCCTTTGACTACTTGCATCAGGTAGCAAGTCTTGATTGTGGAGCCAGACTGGGTATTTAAAATCAGGTATACTAGTAATCCCTGAAACATTAAGGTCAGATTTCTGGCTAGTGAGCCATCTTGGATAATTCTTTGCAAGACTGTGTTCTGAACTGTCCTTGAAAGATGATTTCTTAGGAAAAGATACAGATGATTCAGAAATGCATTTATTAGTCCTATTCATAAGTTTTGGGTTTTTTAGCCTACCACATTGATTTCCATTTATATTTGTGTATACAACAGGAATAACTAAGTTATCCTTGTCCATGTGTGTGGAAGGTTCGTGAAAATTTGGATTCTTTTCTGTGTTCAATGAACTCAGTCTTTCAAAGCATTTCTTGGTTTTTTTGTTCATTCGGTGACCAGGTCCAACATAAGTGAAAGAAAATGATCCATCTGCTGGGAGTTTTAGTAGATCATCAGTTGTTAGGCTAATAGAGTCTATATCATTCATAGTCTGTCTTCTAGAGGATACGGAGTTGGAGTGCTTTTTGTGATTAGAATTTTCAAAAGCTGAAAAACAACATAAGTTTATCTTCCTTTACCACATATAAAGACGTTATATAATATTTAAGAGTAGACGAGAATTAAAAATTTAACAATCATTTCTGCTGCTTTCCCCTTACACTCACTAAATTTAAAATATATAAGTTATAAAAATAGGATGTGCTTTTTAACATGTCTCAATGTTTTATTTATTTTCTACACATTTCTCTGCATCATGAATTTTCCCAAGTTCTTTAATTATTTTTCTTCATCTAGATACAATCACAGTAACACTGGTCACTCAATACTGGCTGCAGCATAAAGAAAAATATGCTATTAAACTAGGTGGAAAAACAAATTTCCTGATGACTATGTCTGCAATGGCAATAGTTACCACACAAAGAACAGCTCTTTTAATTCTCTTCTTGTGAAATATATTCCCCACATCCCTTTTAGAGTTGAATACAAACTTTTTTCATCCTCGGCCCATTCTCTAAGTACTCAGTAAAGTGCTAACTGGCTTATCAACAACTGCATTTCCAAACTTATCATCATGGAAGCCTTACCAAGGACAAACTCTCAGCATCTTGCAAATGTTACTGTTCCATTGAATACGGATCAGAAAGACTAAAACAGTCCTATCAACACAACTGAAATTTTGCAAATATATAAACTGAGAAAAGTTGGGATTTGTTTAAAGTCATTAAGTTGATTAATGAAAGCTAGAACCACCATAACAATTTTCTTTGCATTACACTGTACTAAAATCACTTAATGGTTTAGGATCAGCCATATGCTCTTATTAGTTACTTTCATCAGCTCCTCTGTAAGATTTCAAAGGATCTTAGCTGAAAATTCATGAGAACCAAATAATTACTTTTTTTTTTTTAACAAAAAAATCTAGATCTTAATACTTCACGCTTTACAAGGCTACAACAACACATCTCTCAAAAGTTTCAAGTCACTCTATACTAATAAATAAATAATAAATGCATACCATTGTGTGCTTTATAGATATAGTTGGAGAACTGTGGCATATTTGTAGAATCCTTGTCAATATTAATTTGTCCAGTGCTTGCACCAGGATATATTTGGCTTAGATCAAAATCATCAATATAGGCTTGTAGAGCCTGTGAAGCAGAACTATAGAGTTTATCTTTATACTGAAAAGAGCCATCGGAGTTAGAGGAATCTCTACCACTCAGGCTGCAGCTTGCTAGAAGAGAAGATATTGAAGATTCCCGAGAACAAATTCTATGTTTTGTGTTTGATTTTGCCATGATTTCTTCAAAACGAGTTATTTCTATTCATTTCCCTTAAAAACAACTGCAATACAAAAATTACAATGTTAAGGTGCTGACTAAAAGAAATAATGAGTACATTTAGATAAAATGACTAAATATGTAAATTTTTTGTAATTTTCTTTAAAGAATAATATCCATTTTCTATAATAGACATTCATTTTTAGGCATCATAGATTTTCTATTATCTTTATTATCATAAATCCCTTTATCAAAGGTTTATTAAATACTTACCTATGTGCCTGAAAGTATGTATACCAAAATTAACTGAGACTATACATGGAAAGTACCAAGAAAAGAGTACTCAGTTTTACAAAAGTTCTAAAAACTACTGATCAACAAGTCTTTTTTCATATGGTGATATATTCTATGACATCACAATACCTAACAATACTCTATACATAATTTTCAAACCATAAGCCTGCCACCTCATGCCACTCATAGTAGGTGTTCAATTTTTTTAAAGCCAACAAATGATGTAAGTAAGAAAGAACAATGGAGAATATTCACTTTCAATGTTGTAAACACCAATATGTAACTCTTGCTAGCTCTATCCCCAAAAATAGACTCAAAGGAAATGGAGTAATTTACAGTATTTAACTGTAAAAAAATAAAGTACAAATTTCAGTATAGAATGGACTAGCAATATGCCCTTTCCTAAAATAACACTGTTAATCACCTCCTGTTTTTAATTTTGGATAATGTCCTCACTATTTTCAATGCTTATATTAAACAGATTCAGCTCACCTCTCTTTTAAAGGAAGCTTAATTTGGAAGGCAACTTAATATATTTACCTTACTATTTTATTTTTCCATTTAAAACGGAGAATTTCTGTCAGGAAATAAGCAATAAGAGCATCTACATTTGGAAACTAAGAAATAAAAAACAAGGACTAATTCTATACATGATATAACATCCTTTTAAAATTAAACCAATGGATTTTCTACAGAAAATATGGACGGAGGTCTTCTTAAAGTTCATGAAAATGCATATTATGAGAAAAATGGCTTTCACTTTTTTTTTTCAACAATATAAATTCATAGTTTAATACAAATTTTCCATGAACTTTTTGGGGTCCCCTCACACATGGTATGATGCTAGTATATTTATTTTGGCTTTAATATATTTATTTTGGCTACCCACGCTGGGAGATATGCTTAAGTTATAACAACTTTCCAAGTAATACTAGTAACTGTCAAATTTAAAAGTACTGGCTTTCTAATGACAGAAGACAGAATAAAACAGTCATCCTGCCTGAGTCTTGCAGCATGGAATCACTCACCACAATGATTCCAACAATTACCAACACACCTCAACTTTTTATACATACTCCTTCTTTTAACCATTTCAGTCATAAGATATTTTGGATCCAATACAGGATATTTTGAATGTAAATAAAATATAAAGCCAATCCCACAGAGCTTACCATTTCCTCCACAAACGCTTCACTCCGAATCTCCGAAAGCAAATCCATCATGCCGAAGGACAGAGTTAAACTTACGGGAAGAAATCTCAGCTACCTTTGATTCAAAAACAGAATGTTCCGTGTTAAATAACCCCTGGGAACACTGCACAGGAAATTAAGAACCTTGGAAACAACAGCTCTGGGACGCCTAAGCTAGGAGAGGGAACATGCAGGAGGACGGAAATCGAAGGCCCTGGAAGGCTCCCGACCCCGGCGCGCGGGGTTCAAACTTCTCCGCCTCATCCAGGCGACGTCCCGCAGGGTTCGCCGACCCCGGTGGAGTCGCTGGCAGACACAGACACAGGTTTCAGTGGGTTACCTTTCATCCGCAACCATTTATTCAGCGGGCGCCCGGCGCCGCCCCACGCCCCCACGGCCCACGGCTGGGGCCCTCTGTCCCACCCCGGAGCCCCGGCGGTCTTCCTCCTCCCGCCCGCGTCCCCGCGCCTTCCCCTCGGGCCGTCTAAGGATGGACGCCGCATCCATCATGCCGAAGAACAGAGTTAAACTTATGGGAAGAAATCTCAGCTACCCACTAGGGCCCCAGAAGAGAGGAAAACGCATACTTCCCAACCCTCGGCCCAAAGCCCCGGCCGGTTAGCGGACTGGAGACGTGATGCCGCATGCCCAACCCCGCCCCGCCTCGGGCTCTGCGGACTCGCAGTTTCCACCGCCGTCACCGCCGAGCGCGACGCCTGCGCTCACTTTCAAACCGGCCCAACATGGCACGGGCCTGCTAAAACAAACTCTTGACAATTTGTACATTTTACAGAAGTGTAACAAAAGTTACAATCAATAATTCCACCACCCACTGTAAGCATTTTGATGTATTTCTTTCCAGTGTTCCTAACAGCACTGTTTATAACAGACAAAAAATGGAAACTACCCAAATGCCTGTCAACTAGTCAATGAAAGTAAAAAATATGGTGTCACTATGTAATGCAATATTATTCAGCAATAAAAGGGAATGAAGTGCTGATTCATATGTTAACGTGGATAAATCTTGAAAAGACTATGCAAAGCTATAGGAAAGTAATTGAGAATAAACAGTGCTATGTTAACAGCATCCAGTATTATGTAGCTGTAAAAAGAAAATGAGGAAGAGCTCAGTGAACTTATATGGATTAACAGAATAAGCAGGTAAGCAAAAAATTGCAAAACTAAGTGCAAAAGAGTATTTATAGTATGCCATCATTTTATGTAAGAAAGAAAGAAATGTGAGACTAAAAAAAAGGATCTGCCCATTTGTGCAAAAGAATGAAGTTTAACCAGAAAACTAAAAGATGAGCTACCTGGCAAGGAAATGGAGATTGGAAAAAGGGAGAGACAAGTTTGCTAATAGAGATGAGGTGGGAGTAATACTTTATTTTTTAGTGTACCCTTTGTATAGATAGTGTTGACACTTAGAACAGTGGTAATATTTTATGTATGCAAAATTTAAAGAAAATAGTTAAAACCTATCTTGGTGTATGTGTGTGTGTGGTGCAAAATCTAAATGGAATATAAAAGTAACAAGCTCGCTGTATTATGCATTAATAACATAACCAAGCATGAAAGGGTTGGGGAAATAAAGAACTAACATAAGTTTGCAAGACAGTGTTTGGTAAACCTAAAGACAAAAGCTAAAAACAAAAAGAACTGTACACACAAAAATCCTCTTGGTAAATCTTTTCTCTCAGGGATATGAGTTAATAATTCTGAAACACACACATATGCACAGAAGTAGCATACAAATATCAGACAAAATTGTAGGATTCATGGATGGACCGTCTGGGATCCAGTGCCTTAATCACCAGGCCACATGCTGGCCTGGATATTTGCTTTTCTAACTTTTGAGTTGTTTGAGGTCTTTATATATTCTAAATACTAGTGCCTTATCAGTTAGATGGTTCATGAATATGTTTTATCTGTTTGTGAGTTATTCTTTCACATTTTTGATGGTGTCTTTTGAAGCACAAATAATTTTTTATTTTTGTTTTGTTTTGATTTTTCTTCATCTTTTTTTTTTTTTTTAATTTGCCAGAAGGTGAATGCCCTTGCAGGAAAGAGAACAGGAAAGTGAGAAAGCAATCCCTATGGGGAATGGCAAAATCCCTTCTCCATTTTTTCCTCCTTTCAGGATGTTGGACACATACACACGTGTGTCAGATGTGTTTCTCAAGCTGCTGGGTTCAGGACTTAAACTGAGCAGTCAGCCATGTGGGATCTGGTTGCCTTAACCACCACGCCACAAACTGACACAAAACACAAAACTTTTATTTTTTCTAAGAATTATTTAATTTATTTTAATTTGACCAGAAAGAGATAGATAGATAGATAGGGAGAGAGGGAAGGAAAGTGAGAAGGCAAGCTGCCAGATCCAGGATTCGAACCATAGTCAGCCATGTGAGAGTCTAGCATCCTTAATCACTACGCCATCTGCCGGCCCCAAGTTTTTAATTTTTTTAAAAAATTGCCAGAAGTCATGTGCACTCACCAGAGGGAGAGGGAGAGGGAGAGGAGGGAGAGGGAGAGGGAGAGGGAGAGGGAGAGGGAGAGGTGGAGAAAGCACTCCTCAGTAGAATGTAGTCATGCAGAAATCCCTTCTCCTCCATTTCTCCATCCTTTCAGGAATTGGGGCACTCAGGCACTGTCCCGACCCGGGGGTACAGCGAACAGGTTTCCTGAGTAAAGGAGTGAGAGCCGGGATAAGCAGCATAATGTTACAGCACGGAGACGACACCGTGTCTTCAGTGTCGTCTGTTTATTGTGGGCAGCAAGGTTCAGCACGGAGACAACGCAAGGTTACAACTCTTCAGGGTCGCGTTGTCTATTGTGAGCAGCATGGAGACGGAGACGATGCAGTGTCACAACTCTCCAGGCTCGTCCGGAGACATGCAGTGCTGCAACTCTTCAGGGTTGCGTCGTCTATTGTGAGCAGCACAGAGATGACACAGTGTCACAACTCTTCAGGCTCATCCAGAGACGATGTAGTGTTACAACTCTTCAGGGTCTTTAGGGTCATCTGGAGACTGTGCGGTGTTTCCGCTCTTCAGGCTCTCCTGTTTGTCGTCTGGCTACTGTGGGCCAGGCATCCTGGTTATATACACACTGGTGGGTTGTAAACGGTGGGTCGTGATTGGTTGTAAACGGTTTTATGATTGGTTGCTTTTGTACCAGTCATGAGGTGCTGGATATGCAAATTTGAGGGATTCTAGTGGCCAATCAGAGCAAGGTTTTGAAGGTCAGGTTTTTTGAAGGGAACCAATCATGGCAATTGTTTGCTCTCTGAGAAACCTCGGCAGACTTGCTGGTGCACAGCCTCCCACAGGGCACATGTGGCCTGCATATTTTCAGGCCTTCTGGACTGGGATTTGAACTGCAGTCAGCCACGTGGGGATCTAGTTCCCTTAACCACTAGGCTACAGAAATGGCCCCCAAATTTTTTTAAAAATTTTTAAAGAATTATTTAAGTTTATTTATTTATTCATTTTTAATTTGACCAGAGACACACACAGAGAGAGAGAGAGAGAGAGAGAGAGAACAAGCCACCAGGTCCAGGACTTGAACCGTGGTTGGCCATGTGGGAGTGTCCAGTGCCTTAACCACCATGCCACCTGCTAGTCCCAAATTCTTAAAATTTTAATGAAATCCAATTGAACTATTTTTTTCTTTGTCACTTGTGCTTTTTGGTTTTATATCTATAAAAACCAATGCCCACTCCAAGATCATGAATATTTAGTCCTATATTTTATCTAAGAGTTTATAGTTTTTAGCTCTTATATATTTAGGTCTCTAGTCCATTTGTGTTCATTCCTTTTTTTAAAAAAAATTTTACATTTTTATTTAAGCAATTACTTTACATATCAAAAAATTTTTGCAGATACTCCGTAGTTCTTTTTTTTTTTTTTTT